CCGACATGGAGATTGAACCTGAGATCAAGAGTTGCATGCTCTACTGACTAAGCCAGCCAGTTGCCATTGAATTTTTATAATTCTAGATATTTTTAAAGGATTTTTTAAAAAGATTTTTATTTATTTGAGAGAAAGAGAGAGAGAGAGCACAAGATGGGGAGCGGCAGAGGGAAAGGGAGAGGGAAAAGCAGGCTCTCTGCTCAGGAGCTCAGTCCCAGTACCCCAAGGTGTTCGTTCCCAGTACCCCAAGATCATAACCTGAGCCAAAGGCAGATGCTTAATCGACTGTGCTACCCGGTTGCCCCTATAATTCTAGATTTTACATTTAGGTCTATGATTAATTTTTTTTAAAGGTTTTATTTATTCATTCATGAGAGACACAGAGAGATAGAGAGAGAGGCAGAGACACAGGCAGGAGAAGCAGGCATCATACAGAGAGCCTGACGTGGGACTTGATCCAGGGTCTCCAGGATCAAGCCCTGGGCTGCAGGCGGCACCAAACCGCTGCACCACCAGGACTGCCCTATGATTAATTTTTTTAAAAGATTATTTATTTATTTATTCATGAGAGACACAGAGAGGCAGAGACACAGGCAGAGGGAGCGCGATGCGGGACTTGATCCCAGGACCCTGGGATCAGGACCTGAGCTGAAGGCAGATGCTCAACCAGCCACCCAGGTGCCCCGGTCTATGATTAATTTTGAGTTAACTGTTGCATTTAATTTGCATATATATGTGTGTGTACAAGTACATACATAGACATACATACACATATGTATATAGATAATTAATCCAGCAATTTTTTTTTTTGGTAAAGAGTGCTTTTTCTCTCAATTTCCTTTGCAACTTTTTTCAAAATTAATGGACTATCTGATTGAAATCTTTTCTGGACTGTATTCTGTTAAATTAGATTGTTTATCTTGATATCATTAACACAGTGTCTTGATTAAATGTAGCTTTATAATGTGTCCTAAAGTCATTTAATGTAAATCTTCCAACTTTGTTCTGCTTTTTCAGAATTGTTTTGGCTCAGGGCAGTCCGGGTGGCTCGGTGGTTTAGCGCTGCCTTTAACCCAGGCCCTGATCCTGGAGACTGGGATCGAGTTCCACGTCAGGCTCCTGCATGGAGCCTGCTTCTCCCTCTGCCTGTGTCTCTGCCTCTCTCTGTGTCTCTCATGAATAAATAAATAGAATCTTAAAAAAAATTGTTTTGGCTCTTCTAGGTTCTTTGCATTTGCAAGTGTATTTATGATTCAGTTTACCAATTTTTTTTACAAATATAGACTGCTGAGATTTTGATTGGGATTACATTATATTTGAACACTAATTGGGGAGAAATTGACATCTGATACATGAACATAGTTCATTATTCCATTGATTTAGGTCTTTAATTTCTGTCAGCAATATTTTGAAGTTTTGGTGTACATATTTTACTTCTTTATTACTAATATGGCTGTATTTTATTTATGTTTCTTATATAGCACCATGTAGAACTAGTATATTTTTAATTGCTTTATTGAGATATAATTGACAAAAAAGCTGTCTTTGTTTAATGTATATAACTTGATGTGTTTAGAGACAATGCCCACAAAATTATCATCATCAGTGTCACAAATTTATTTATCACCTCCAAGTTTCCTCCTCACCACCTTCATTGCTTTTTTTACTTTTTGTGATAAGAGCACTTAACATAAAATCTACCACCTTTGCACATTTTCATTTTCTTTATTTTATTTTAAAAATATATTTATTTATTTATTTGGGGGTTGCACAAGTGGAGGAGGGGCAGAAGGAAGGGAGAAGCAGATTCCCTGCTGAGCAGGGAGCCTGATTCTGGGACCTCTATCCCAGGACCCTGAGGTCATGACCTGAGCTGAAATCAAGAGTCAGATGCTTAACTGAGTGAGCCACCCAGGCGTCCCAGCACATTTTTAAATATACAATACAATCTTATTAATCATTAGATTTATATTGTATAGCTGTACTCCAAACTTATCATTTTTTATAACTGAAATTTTATCCATTTCACCATCCTCTCCCGATTTCCCCGAACCTTTAGCCCCTGAAGACCACCATTCTACCCTCTGCTTCTATGGGTTTGATTTTTTTTTAGATTCTTTTTTTTTTTTAAGAGTTTATTTATTCATTCATGAGAGACACACACAGAGAGAGAGGCAGAGACACAGGCAGAGGGAGAAGCAGGCTCCATGCAGGGAGCCCGATGTGGGACTCGATCTCAGGATCCTGGGATCACACCCTGGGCCGAAGGCGGCGCAACCACTGAGCCACCCAGGCGGCCCTGATTTTTTTTAGATCTATATGTGAGATAATTCAATATTTATTTTTCTGTGTCTGGGTTATTCCACTTAGTGTAGTGTCCTCCAGACCCATATATGTTGTCACCAATAGCAGGATTTCCTTCCTTTTAAGGATAGAATAATATATATATATATATATATATATATATATATATATGTATATATATATATATATTCCCAATCTTCTTTATCTCTTTATCCATTGATGGACATTTAGGTTGTGTGTGTACCTTAGCTCTTGTGAATAGTGCTACAATAAACATGGAAAGGAGATATCTTTTTGAGATCCAGATCCTTTAGATACATATTCAGAAGTGGGATTGCTGGGTCATATAGTAGTTCTCTTTTTAATTTTTTGAAGAACCTCTAAACTGTTTTCCATAGTGGTTATACCAGATTACATTCCCTCCAGCACAAGTGTTCACCCCTGCCCCCCACCCCTGCTCTTCTTTTTCCTGATAAGAGCCATCCTTATCAGGTGTAAGGTGATATCTCATTATGGTTTTCTTTTCTTTCTTTTTTTTTCCTCATTGTGTTTTTGATTTGCACTGCCCTGACAATTAGTGATGTTGAGCACATTTTCATACATGTTGGGAATTGTATATATTCTTTGGAGGAATATCTATTCAAGTCCTTTGTCCATTTTTTAATTAAGTTATTATTTTTTCCCTCTTAAGTTGCATGAGTTCATTATGTATTTTAGATATTAACTCCTTATCAAATATATGATATGCAATTATTTCCCCCCATTCTGTAGGTTGCCTTCTCATTTTGTCAATTGGTTTGGGTTTGGGTATGGGTTTGGGTTTGCTGTGCAGAAGCTTTCTAGTTTGTTGTAGTCCTATTTGTCTATTTATGCTTCTGTTGCCTGTACTTTTTTTTTCATATCCAAGAAATCACTGCCCAGTTTAATGTCTTGAAACTTTTTCCTATGTATTATTCTAAGAGTTTTATTATTTCAGATCTTATATTTAAGTCTTTAATCTATTTTTAGCTGATTGTGGTAAACAGAGTGAAATAACAGTCCAGTTTCATTCTATCGAGTATAGAGGTCCAATTTTCCATACAAAAGACTATCTTTTATTTATTTATTGAAAGGACTATCTTTTCCCTGTTGTATATTCTTGGCACAATTGTCAAAGATTAGTTGGCTGTGTCTGTGTGGGTTTATTTCTTGGGTCTCTAGTTTGTCACATTGGTCTTTGTGTTTGTTTTTATGCCAGTACCATACTGTTTTTATTACTGTATCTTTGTAATATGTGTTGAAATCAGAGTGTGATACCTTTAGCTTTGTTTATCTTGCTGAGAAATGCTTCAGCTATTTGGGGTCTTTTTTAATTCCGAAAGAATTTTATTTTTTTTTTTCCTGTAAAAAATGCCATTGGGATGAGTCAGGGTGGATGTGAGTCTATAAGGGTACATGGCTGCTTTTGATTCTGTACCCAGGTTCTTGGTAGATGGGCCTACTATCAGGGGTGGATCAGCTTTCTCAAAGTGACTTTTCTTGGTCTTGGGCTCCACAAGTTTGTTTCCATTTCCTATATGGTTCCTGAAGCCTCTGTGAAGGCACTTTTTTCCATAAGTGGTCGCCAAATTAGTGTTTCTGCAGGAAGGGTGAGATCTGGAGACGTTCCATTCTGCCATTTTGCTTATATCACTCTCCATTACATGTTGAGTAAAAGTGGTGAGAGCAGATATCTCTCTATTTTTCCTGAACTTTAAGAACAGTATTAATTCTTCCACTTAACCTTTATCAGATTCAGAATGCTCTCTTCTATTTCTAATTTGTTGAAAATTTACTTGAGATGGATGTTAGATTTTATCAGGGGGTTCTGTTTTGAGATGACCATATGGATTTTTTGCTTGTTTGTTCTAGTCTGTTAAATATGGTAAATTACACTAATTGATTTTTGAATGTTATAAGAATTTTGCAGGGCAGCCCGGGTGGCTCAGTGGTTTAGCGCCACCTTCAGCCCAGGGTGTGATCCTGGAGACCTGGGATCGAGTCCCATGTCGGGCTCCCTGCATGGAGCCTGCTTCTCCCTCTGCCTGTGTCTCTGCCTCTCTCTCTCTCTCTGTGTCACTCATGAATAAATAAATAAAATCTTTAAAAAAGAATAAAAAATAAAAGAATTTTTCATTCCTGAAATAAACTCTTCTTTGTCACGTTATATTATCTTTTTTATATTGTTCGATTCAACTTGCTAAATTCTTAATTTTTTGAGTTTAAGTATCATTTACATATAGTATTATATTAATTTCAGATAGACAATAAAATGATTCAGTAGTTCTGTACATTATCCACTGCTTATCATGATAAGTGTACTCTTAGTCCTCTTTATCTATTTCATCCATTACTCTTCCTTTCTCCCTTCTGGCAACCACCAGTTGGTCTCTTAAGAGTCTTTTTTTTTTTTTTTAAGATTCATTTATTTATTTAAGAGAGACACACAGAGAGAGGCAGAGACATAGGCAGAGGGAGAAGAAGACTCCTCACTGGAAGCCCGATGTGGGACTTGATCCTAGGACTCCAAGACCACACCCTGAGCCGAAGGTAGATGCTCAACCACTGAGCCACCCAGGCATCCTGCTTAAAGGACTTTCTTTAGCAGTACCTGTATGACTCAGTAGGTTAAGTGTACAACTTTTTAAATTTCTGTTTTATACCTTGGTAATCATTGATTAGTTCTCATCCACATTAACTGTGTGTAGATTTTCCAAAGTGGTGACAGGTACATAGGTAACCGATGTATAGAACTTGTTTGGTGACTCTCCATCCTTATTATGCTTTCTGGACAACCCCACATGGATATGGTATGGAACATTCCTTATTCTTTGGGTCCAGACAGCTTTGTTGAGCCTGGCGTCAATGTGCACATCTGGAGTTCCCACTTCCTTCATGGGAAATTTCCAGATTTCTTTGTGTGCCTGAGGGGCATGTTTCATGAAACCCACTCTGTGGATGCGCTTGTGAATGCTGATGGTATATTCTCTGGTCACTGACTGGTTGATGGCAGAGCAGCCCTTCTTGTCACCCTTCTTTGTGGGAGCCATTCTGCTGGGCCTTGGTTGGAAAGGAAGGCCAACTCTTGGTTTCAGCTCAGGTCATGATCTCAGGGTTATGAGATGGAGCCTTGCATTGAGCCCCTCCTCAGGATCCACACTCAGTGTGGAGTCAGCTTGAGATTTTCTCCCTCTCCCTCCTTCTTTCCCCATTCCTCCACTCTCTTAAATAAATTTAAAATATTAAATAAAAAAACTATCTTTCATGTTTCTTGTAACTCATGTCTGAATTCTTTTTGGTTTTGCGAATAATTTTATTTTGCTTTTATTTTCTAAAAATATTTTCACTGGATAAAGAATTATGGATTGACAAGTTTTGTTTTTTCTTTTAATGCTCTTAGGATGTTGCTTTGCTGACTTCTTGTTAATATTATTGCCAGTGTGATATATCTGTCATTTAAAAATGTTGTCAACAGAAGTCATGTGCCTATGTGCAAAACCTATTTTCTCTTGCTGTTTTAAATATTTTCCCCTTATCAGTATTTTGGAGGAATTTGATTATGATGTATTTTCATGTAGTTTTCCTCATTTTTCTTGTGCTTTGGGTTGGTTGAGTTTTTTTGGATCTATGAGTTTATAGTTTCTCTCCTCTTTTGTCCTCTTCTTTTGGGACTCTGATTCCATCTATTTTAGATTGCTTGAAAATGTACCACAGCTCATCAATTCCCAGTATTTTTTTTTTTCAGTACATTTTCTCTTATAGTTTTATCAGAGATATTTTCATTTACCATGTATTCTAGCTCAGTAATCGTCTCCTGCAAAGTTTCATATGCCATAATCACATCCAATGCAATTTTCTCTTAGATGTTGTCTTTTTTTTATCTCTAGAAGTTTGATTTGTGTCTTTTTTTTTATTATTTCTTGGTCTTTGTATTCATCTACTTAGCATATTCAGTCTTTCCTGTAGGTTCTTGAATATATGAAGTGCAACTAACATGACTTCAAATTCTTTGTTTACTAAAATTCTTTCATCTGTGTCATTGCTGGGGTACTTTTAGCTGATTCCTCTCTTCACCATGGTTCCTGTTTGTCTTCTTTGTTTGCCTGGTAATTTTTAAATCTTTTTTTTTTTTTTCCTCCAGCATGGAGCCAAATATGGGGCTTGAACTCACGACCCTGAGATCAAGAACTGAGCTGAGATCGAGTTGACCGACTGCTTAAGCAACTGAGTCACCCAGGCTCCCCTGCCTGGTAATTCTTTATTGAAATTCCAGACATTTAAATTTTTACCTTGCTGTGTACTTGAATACTCTATTGATCTTTGTTTTGGGTTTTGGTTAAGTTACTTAGAAACAGTTTGATCCATTTATGTCTTGCCTTTAAGTTAGTTCCATTCGGTTGACCCAGAGAAGTTTGAAGTGTATGACTAATTTTTTTTCTAGGACTAAGACGAAACTGCTCTGAATACTTAACCCGATGCTCTGTAAGTTATGAGCTTTTGCTCTGTAGCTTGTGTGAACTGGCTATTTCTGCCCTATACAAGCTCCTAGCAGTACCGGAATTAGGGTGAGGTGAGGAAAGTGTCAAGGATGCAAAATTTAATATGGTACTCACTTTAAGGAAGTTCAGGATCTGCACCTGAGAATACATGCCTCCTAAAAGTTTGTGTACTAGGCACTATGCTTGCCTTATAGCAGTGTCTGTCCTGGTTTGTAGGATTGGTGGTTCTAATTTAGAGGTCAGTAGACTTTTTCTTTAGGGGCTAGATTGTAAAGATTTTAAGCTTGTGAGACCTACAGGTTCTTTTGTAACTACTCAACTCTGCTATTACTGCATGAAGGTAGTCATAGGTAATATGTGAATGATAGGTGTGACTGTGTTCCAGTACAAAGTTATTTACTAAAACAGTCCACTGGCTATGGTTTGCTGATTCCTTCTCTAATCCCTTGGGTGTTTCTTTCCCAGGCCTACTAGCCTACGTATTAGTGTGTAAGTACTTAACTGATTGAGACTGCGCAGATTTGTAGGATTTTTTATGTGTTCTCTTTTCTTCAGGATTTGCCCTTGTAAACTCCAGTTACATTGGTTTCCTTTTCTCCAGCCTTATCTCTTCAACTGAGGGCGACTACCTGGCTCTGCATTTGCTTGTGTCAGGGCTCCTTCATCGATTGACATTCAATGTTTTAGTTGCTTTTTGTGTCGCAATTTATATGCAATTTTTAAAGTTATTTCAGGTTAGAGGATAAATCCAATCCTTGTTACTTCATGGCACAAAATAGGAATTTCTAATATTATGTTTTTAAGTTAAATTGTACCATTTCTTATAAATAGAAATGAAATAAATTATTTGTACAGAATCAACATTTAGAATTCACAGTTTAACTAACTTTTTGGACTTATCAATTATTATAGACTTCTAGAATCTTAATTTCTTCATTTATTATAGGGAGGATAATAAAATATCTTTCTCTTAGGGTTGTTGGGAAGCTTAAATGAATAGTGAGGCAGTACCTAGCATTGTGTATGTCTTGCAGTAAGCAGAAAGATGTTTAATTCACTTTCCCAGGTTTGATATATTGATTAATTAAAAACTGTAAGTTTTTAAGGTTAGATGCTAGGGTTGGAAGGGTACTGAGGGTTGTAAGTAAACATAAATTATACTACTTCTATTTTAGCTGTACTGCCATTGTTTTTGATTTGGATAGTGGTGGTAAGCACCCTGTATTTCACTCTCCTCCTTATGTCCCATTAAGAGGAATTTAATTAAAGTATTATTATATTTTCCATTTATAGAATCTCTTTGGTTAAAGTCTCTTTGTGTCTTTTGCCCATTTTTTAATTGGATTTTTTTAACTGATGAGTTTTGAGAATTCTTTATATTCTAGATTTAATTCTGTAGCTTGTCTTTTCATCCTCTTATCAGGGACTTTTCAGAGAGCAAAAGTTTTTTTTACTTTGATGAAGTCCAATTCATCAAAGTTTACCTTTTGTGGATCATATTTTTTTTGTGTCCTGAGGACTCTTTACCAGGCCTTAGGTCCTGAAAATTTTCTCCTATGTTATCTTCTGCATTTTTTATAGTTTTATATTTTACATGTAATCTATGACCTTTTAGATTTTTGTATATGAGGTTTAGATCAAGGGTCTTTCTTTTGTGTACGGATCTCCAGTTGATCCAGCACTATTTATTAAAAATACTATCCAATCTCCATTGAATTGCTTTTGCACCTTTGTAGCAAACCAATTTGCTATACTTTTGGGGTCTATTTCTGGGTTCTCTGTGATGTTACATTGATCTATGTGTCTAATTTATCATCGCTACCACATAGACTTGATTATTCTTGCCAAATAACAAGCTTAAAAAACAGATAGAATAATTCTTATTTTATTATTTTTCAGAATCAGATATCCAAGTACTATAGTCTTTCCACATATTTTAGGATAGTCTTATATTTAAATAATATATTCATAAATTTTCATATAATTTTAAATAATTCGTATTTATATTATTATATAAATAATATAAATATCACATAATATTTATAATATAATTATAATTAATTTATAATTTGTAAAATTTTAAAAATATAATTTATATATAGATTTTTTAAATATAAAACATTTTGATAGTAATCATGGTAAACTTTATCAATTTATGTATCTTCAGTATGTTGTCTTCAATATATGACACAGTATATCTCCCCAAATATTTAGATCTTTCATCAGCATTTTGTAATTTTCAACATACACATCCTGTGTTTTGTTGCACATGTAAGCATTTCTCTTCCTTAAAATAAATTGTATAAGTATTCTATTTTTAATTTTGGTGTCCATGTGTTTGTTCATTGAATACAACTGATTTTTGTATGTTGACTTTATATCCTGTGACCTTCCTGAACTCTCTTACTAGTTTAATAAATTTCTTTGATTGATTAATTAATTACATATTTTCTTTATTTTGTTTTACTTCTTTTTTCTTTCTGATTTGTATGCCTTTTCCTCCCTTTACTTGCCTTACTTAATGTACTAGCTAACACTTTCAGAACTATGCTGAGTAGAAGTGATGGGAACAGACATTATTTTAGGGGAAAATGTTCACTTTTTGTTTAAGGCTTTATTTCTTTATTTATGAGAGACACAGAGAGGCAGAGACATAGGCAGAGAGAGGAACAGGCTCCCTGAGGGGAGTCAGATGCAGGACTTGATCCCAGGACCCTGGGTGCACGATCTGAGTCAAAGGCAAACATTCAACCCCCAAGTCTTTCACCATTAAATAAAGATATGAGCTAGAGGCTTTTCATAGATATTCTTTATCAAGTGGGGAAAATTTCCTCTATGCCCAGTTTTCTGAAATTTTGATGAGTAACAAATATTGTCAAACATTTTTTCTGTATCAATTAACATGGTCATGAAATTTTCCTTTTTAGCCTATTAACAATGATTTTCTAATATTGAACCTGCTTTGCCTTTAAAAACATTTAAAAAAAATTTTACAAGGTTTTATTTATTTACTTATTTGAGAGAAAGAAAGCACAACTGGAGTGGGGGAAGGAGGGGCAGAGGGAGACAGAGAAGTAGGCCCTCCATTGATCACGGAGCTCGATCCAGGACTTCATCCTAGGACCCTGAGATCATCACCTGAGCCAAAGGCAGCTGCTTAAAATACTAAGTCACCCAGGCACCCCCAGGCTTGCCTTTTAGAATAAGCATATCTTATTGTGGTATATGCTTCTTTTTGTATATTTCTGAAAGTCTATTTGCTAATATTTGTTAAAGTTTTTTTGTGGCTATACCATATGAGGAATATTGGTTTATAGTTTTCACTTTCTCTACTGTCTTTGGAATTAGAATAATACTGGATTCATAAAATGATTGTGACACATTGCCTTCTCACTTATTTTCTATAAGAAGTTGTATAAAATTGTTAACTTTTCCTCTAGCATTTTTTTAAAGATTTTATTTATTTATTCACGAGAGACACAGAGACATAGTCAGAGAGAGAAGCAGGATCCTCAAGGGGAGCCCAATGTGGGACTCACCCCCAGGACTCC